GCCTGGTTACTGGGTGCCCAGAAGCTAACTGTAATTCTGACTCCTCCTCTTAGGCCACAAAGTACTTAACTCATGCTTTTTCCCCCTCCAGTTTCTTAACTGCACGGCCAGATGCTTAGCCAGCTACTTAGAAGCCATATCATCTATGGGGCAGGAGGAAGGCATTCTGATGCTTTTCAGCCCCAGGCACTGGGTTCTGGAGCCATCTGGAGCCCTATCAAACTCTATTGATCCCCTTTGGCCCCTCTACACAATAAATACTGTGAGCTGCTCAGCAAGAGGCAATGCGATGGGGAAAGCAGGGCTTTGGCTCCTGGGGATTATTCCTCTCAGAGGTTAGTTGTGCCAAAGGTGGGTCAAGACAACCTGAGGAATAGCTGTCTGGTCTCAGTCCTCCTCTGAGCCATGTTGCCTCCATTCCCATTTCCTCTGCATCCATTTATTTCTCTCGAGTCCTCCTCTGCTGTGGAGGAAGTGGAGGAGGACACCTCTCTGCTTTGCTGGGGGGCAGAGGGAGGTGACAGAGGAGCAAGGTGCTTCTAGAGCCAGGAAGCCCCTGCCTGGAGGCTCCTCCCTGGCAGGCAGTGGGTGTGGGTAGGAGGCACCTGACAAGTGTGCCCCACAGGCTTTCGGATCCTGTCCCTCACATGTGCCACGTTAGCCTCTTGCCCACCAGGAGGAGGAAACAGCAAGATGCTCTCTGAGGTAGAAATAAACCCAATCCAGCATCTCAGATGCTTTTAAAAATAGCAACTTTGGGATAGTATTTCAGCTCCTATTTTTATCAGATTTATGTGGTTGGTCCATGGAACTGAGCTGTTCCCAGGGTTCTCAATAGCAGGGACATCACCATTGTAGTTTTAGAAACCTGCCCATTGGCCGAGGCTAAAATGCATCCCAGGAACCTTTACGTTGGGAGGGATCCTGAGCTGTTGTTGCACGCAACCTTTGTCTCTGTTTAGGCCTGTGATCAATTAACCACAGAGAGCTTATGGCTTGCTTTTTACCTTGGTTGCCATGACTCCACTGCATAATCTAGGATCACACAGCCTTCTAGTCGAGAAGTTCTTTTTAATATCTAGCCCGAATACCTCTGGTGACATCTTTTTTGGCTCCTTTCACCACAGGAAAATAGCAGCTAACATTTACTTCGAGATTACCTTGTCCACATCCTCTTATTTAATTCTCACAAAACCCCTCGGGGTAGGCACAGTCACCTCTCTTAGTGTAAGAGCAGTTATGTAACTTGCCTAAGTTCATACTTGGTTATGGTACAGATTCTGTGTCAGAACCATCAGACCATACTGCCTCTCAAGCAGAGGAGGAAAAGAATGTTAAGAATTTTTTTAAGTCAATTTTATTTATTTATTAACATTTTATTCCCCACCACCACCACACCCTCTGGTAACCATTAGTCCATTGTCCATGTCCGTGAGTCTGTTTGTCCTGTTCATTTGTTGCTTTTAGGTTTATATCCCACATATAAGTGATATCATGTGATTTTCAACCTTCTCTGTCTGGCTTATTTCGCTTAATATGATTATTTCAAGGTCCATCCATGTTGTTGCAAATGGCAGTAATATTCTATGGCTGAGTAATATTCTAAGAAATTTCTTGTGAGTGAAGGAGACCAAGTGTTTTACCTTTTGGGATACTGATTTTTAAGCTGGTAATTAAGAAACAAGAGACTCAAAGACCCTTTGACCCTCCCTGCTTTCCTACCCAAAAGTATCAGATAGAAGATCCTGCAGTCTTAGGATGTTTGCTTCAGCCTAATTTGAATTAAGTATGGTAAATAGGAGGGCTCTAGCAGAGGCCTGTTGGCTAGATAGCCCGTGTCCCATTGTTCGGATTTGCCTGGCCAGAATTTGCTTGCCCTGTGTGTTCCACTCTTGCTCAACTATCTATAAATTGCCCATTCTCACTTCTGAAATCTATGACCACCAACCACTCCGCCTTTATCTCCTTTGTCCAAAATGTCGTTTTTAACCAATGTTGCCTGTCTTTGGAATTTTCATGCTTATGTGAATTCCCCATGTGCATGTACTAATTTGTCTTAGTCATTAGCCCAGCTAGGAAAACTTAGAAGGTAGGAGGAAAAGTGTGTGTATGTGTGTGTATATTTATATTAGTCTTGCCTTTCATTTCATTATGGTCCTTAAAGAAAAAACTGGCCAGTGTGCTAAATGACCATACGTGCCCCATGCTAGAAGCTAAATTCTGGGTCTCAACCATGCTGAGCCATGGTCTCCCTAACAGATGGGCCTTTGCTGTGGTGGCCATTTGGCTATCAAGTTTTAACCTAGAAGTTTGGCTTCTCTAGGTATAAGCTTCCATAGCCCCCTCTGCTTTTTTCAAAGTACTCACTACCGTTGTAATTACTTTTAATTAATGCCTATGTTCCTCACCAAATTGTAACCTCCATGTGCGCTCTATCTCCAGACTCTTGCTATAAACAAACAAAGAAACAAATTAGGGCAGATGTTCAAAACCTGTTTATTGAATTGAAACAGTTTAAATAGATTCAGTCCATGCTTATTTTTTAACAGTGGTTAAAACTCAGTAGCTTCAAGTTTATATAGATGTCAAAATCCAATGTAATTTCAATAACAATAATAGAACATAGGGTTGCCAACATTTATTTTGCTAAGTGAGGATGTTTAAAAACAACTACCATTATCACCATCTTCTTATAAAAGGACATTTTAACATTATATACACATGTTTGGAATAAAGATTTGGCTCCTTTCTGAGAAGGAAGAGTTAGCAGACCTACATCAACCTATTTAGAAATAAAATAGACATATTACAATGTTTTGGATATGCAAGTATTACCCGAGCAACATTTTCAACATTTCTTACTTTGGAGATCTGTATTCCACACACGTGAAAAGTGTAACTTCAACGTCGAACTTGTTTCGAAATGTTATTTTTCTCAGTTTCATGAAAGAATGTTGACAAATGTAGAACACTCAGCAATTTTGCTCTATGAGGAAACTTTTGGGCAAACTGAGAGGAGCCAAGGAACAATAGCAGTCAAGCCTCCAACTGCTCCCTTCCTTCTCTGAGCAAGCCAAGAAGAAAGTGGGCCAGGAACTGGGGGCTGAAAGCCAGTTATGGAGCCGTCCAGGATTTATCTAGGAAGAGTGACATCAACCACTGCTCCAGCAGAGCAGGGACACAGGCACGCATATCGAAGGCACGCAATTAAACACATAAGGCACTGTTTCCAGCACAGAGGACAGATGTATCATGCTGCCAAAGAGGGGCATGTGCTAGTTTATCAAGGTAGGGCTCCGGCATACTGGGTCTCGCTCGGGAAGCTCTCAGGGAAGGTGGGATGTTGGGTTCTACTGAGTGTCACAGAGGGAAGCATAAGGCAGAGGAGTGGCTCTTATTCTGCATTCCTTGGGCTGAGAACCAGGAGATTTGGATTCAGAGTCAAGCTCCTTTACTCATAGGTGAAAGCCCTCAGGTGATGGCCCAGTTGCTGCCACCTTCTCCAGGCCTACAGTGCCTCGGATGGGGGGAGCTGCTCTTGGACACCTGTGGCTCTGGGGAAGAGACTCTCTAGAAAAGACTGGGTAATGGAATGTGTGGTCAGAAAGAGAGGAGACCTGCTCTAGGCTCCCTACGAGTTCAGAGGAGGCATAACAAGGCAACTGGCCTCTTGGTTCAGCCAGTTCTTCCTGGTAGGTCTTCAAGGGTCTCAGGATTCAGGTAAGATGGTGTTGCAGCGAGGGAACTGTTTCAGGTGGTGACAAAGGCAAGTAGCTATATGTTAAGAGGAGAGTCAGCAGGATCCATTCCATGGCCCACCACACATCTGAACAGCTGTTTAATGGAGTAAAAGCAAATATTCTTGTGGGCACTGGCCACAGCTAGGGTCTCTGGGAGCAGGAGGCTTGTCTAGAGCACTTTCTGCCTTGCAGGGCTGTTCCCTCCCTAGGTCTTGGTTACTCCCATTGCAGGCACTGGGGGAGAACTGGGCCTGAAAGCAGAGTTGGCCCTGATGCATAAGCACCATCTCTACCTCCCAACAGAGGGGCAAAGCCAGGCCTCCCTCTAGAATAGCCCTTACCTACTATCTCCTCCTAGGCTCTCCCGCCCCCTGAACTGTGCTTCTGGAGGCTACTATGGGCCTTCCTGTTCTCATCATCACCTTCTAGTGTCAGCCCATTTAAGACTGCTGATAGAAATTTGGTGGATGGCTGAATAGCCCTGTGAGGAAGAAGAGATGGGACAGATCAGGCTAGGAAGTCAAGTCTGGAGAGGCAGGGAATGCCTTCCCAGGGCACAGTTCCAGGCAGATGGAGGCCCATCCTCTGGGAGGCTCTCGCTGTCTTCCTTCTGGTTCAGGATGCGTTGCCTATTAAGTCTTTTCCAAGTGTGCAACCTGTGTGTGAAGCCAGATAAGACCCCTGATGAGAGTTCCTGGCCCACTTTCTTCCTGGCTTGCTCAGAGAAGGAAGGGAGCAGTTGGAGGCTTGACTGCTATTGTTCCTTGGCTCCTCTCAGTTTGCCCAAAAGTTTCCTCATAGAGCACCCTTGACACTTACACACAGATTTGCATCATGCATCTTCATCCCCGCTCCCTCTTACAAAGCCGTAGGCTCAGAACACCTTGGGTCTCATCTAATGTGGGGAAATGTCAGCTCCAGGAAGAGACTTCTGACCATTCACCAATATCTAGGGCAGCGCCTTGCTTATAGTACAAGTTCAATAAACATTTGACAAATGAATGAATGGAGCTCAGCTCTGAATCTAGGTCTCCTGGTTCTCAGTCTAGGGGACACAGAATAAGAGCCACCCTCTCCTCTGCCTAACGCTTCTCTCATATCACTTAGCAGAACCCTATATCTTGCCTCCTCTGAGCTTCCTGAGCAAGACCCAGTATCCGTCAGCACCACTTTGACTAACTAGCACATACCAGCTCCTTTGGCACTGTGATATATCTGTCCTCTGTGCTAGAAAGACTACCTTATGTGTTTGTGTGCCTTCAGTGTACATGACCGTGTCTGTGATCTGCTGGAGCAGTGGCAGACGTCAGCCTTCCCAGATAAGCCCCTGATGGCTCCCTATGGGCCATCAGTCTATAGCCCCTTCTAAAGTCCCTCCCTGGCCTCAAGATTCTACGAACAAGGGACTATGACACTGGTCACACTTGGAGCCAAGCCCTTCAGAGTTTCTGTACTCCACCACACCCATATCATTTGCCCTTGCCAATACTGTTTTTGTACTTGATCTTCTGGCTGCTCTATGTGAGTTTGTTTTGTCTTCCTGCCTAGTTAATAAACTCAAGGCCAGGGACTCACTGACCAAATAACAAAGGCAAAGGCGGCTTTTTAAGCTTGCATCACCCGATTCGTATTAAAACCGTCCCACTTCCAAGCGGCAATCCTTCATCCTTGTCAACAAGTTTATCAGCAGGGTTGATTCACCCCAGCAGGGGTGACCTCAATGCTGGGAATGGAAAGAGGAAGTGCCATGAAAAAACTGCTATAGATTATTTCCAGAAAGTCTTCATGTTTGGTTTTTTGAGGGCACTCCTAGACATACAGACCTAGAAAACTGTTAGGAAGGAGGAAGAGCAATGTGGCAGCAGAATCAGAGGGGGAAAACGGGAAGAGACAAAGCCAGATTCGGGACACAGAGCCAGATTCGGGACACAGAAATCAGCAAGGACGGGTGAGCAGGACTTGAAAAAGGCCTGAAGCCACCTCTGCCCCCCTCCCCCGTACTGTCGTCCCTTTTCAAGATCTTCCCCAGGGTTCTGCCCACGTCATATCCCTCAGCTCCTGCTTCCCCAGGCTGTGACATCAGTCCACATCGAATGATACCAATACTTTATTCACATACTAGGAATAAGCCAGTATGAAACATATTTTTAAAAAATTCACTGGTGCTAAAAATCGCGCCCCCCCCCCGCCTTCAGTCACCCATATCTGTGTTCTTCTTCTGACAACCCGGGGCAGACTCAGTTTTTCTGGGCTTCCTGCAAGAGCTTGAGCAGGGTGTCATCCGCCCTGAGGGCAAAGGTAAGGGTGCGCTGCTGGTAGTGCTCTGGATTATACTCCAGGTTCTCAATTACCTCTGCCAACAGGTGAGCCCTCTCCACCCCTGAGCCAGGAGCTTCAAAGCCCAGGGCGGTGAAGTGCACATGTAGGTGGTAGTAGGACGGCAGGTAGTGCAGGTACACACGGAGGCGATCCGCTTTCACCTGGTAGCGCCGCAGGATGGCTTCCTGGTGAGAAAGGGTGTGGCAGGAAAGGGGTCACTGTGCTGTCCACGATCCAGCACCAGACCTTCCTCCTATCCTGACCTCAGACTAGCCTTTGGACACCTAACAAAGCCCTCCAAACGGACTCTGCCCACAGTGTGCTTTAGGTCCCTGTCTTCCTTTCTAGGGAATTAACAAAAACAGGTGACAGCAGCAGAGTTGAGGCTCTTTCTCCCAAATGAAGGGGATAGTGGCCTGGATCAGGGTTCTCAATGCCAGTCTGGATAAAACATTTGCTTCCTCAGACAGTTGCTGCTGCGAATCTAGGCAGTCCCAGTGCCTAAGGACAGGCCCAACAGACCCAGACTGGGGATGATTTGTAAACACTTAAAGCCCTAAGTGGGTGGGAGGAAGCCTGTTCTCCCTCTTGGCATGGACACAGTGGAGCCTGGAAACAGTGGGGATAGGGATGGGCTGAGGTAGGGTCTTGGTGAAAAAGAAAGGACAGTGCTGGACCCTTGTTGAGAGAAGAAAGTACTGACTTTGGCCCAGGCTCCCACTCCCTTGGCCCAACCCCATCTTTTCTCAGGGGTAGGGGCTTTCTATCAAAGCCCTCTTCCAGAGACTCTAAGGCTTGGAGTTCACAGGAGACTCTGGTTTCCATTGTGGGCAAATCCCTCAGGAGGTCAGAGATGAAGAGAAACAGACCAGGCCCTGCGTGGGCTCGGAATACACCACAGAGCTGTATTCTGTTTGGAGCTCACCCCAGGGATCTCTGTAGCAGGGTGAGACCAGGGCCAGAGCATCCAAAGGGCTTCCTGGGATAAGGAGGGCAAGGACACCAGAGCTGTCAGGGCAAGTGAAAGTGTTGGCTCAGCATTTTCCCAAAAGAAAGACACCACTCTCTGCCACCCACCCAGAGGCTGTTTCAGGAGAAACAAGTCACTCCTACAGAGAAAGGTGGCCAGAGAGACACTGACATGGGCCAGCGGAAAGATAGCGCAGTGGAAAGCGCAGTGAATAGGGCAGTAGATAGGGCAGTGAAGGGGAGCTGGGGACCAGAGGCTAACAGACAGCTGACCCAGGTGGAGCCCTTCCTCCAAGTGCATCCAAGCCTTTGAGCAGCTCTTGTTGAAAAGGGTGAGCCTCTCCTGGCTAGGCATCTGTGACTGCTGGGCCCGGATGTGGGGGGTGGGGGCATCTTCAAATGTTTCAGAGTGGAAAAAAAGGCTGAGAACAATCCCACAGAATGGTAGATTCAGTAGGATCCTAACCTGATGTCGAGGCCTAGAGAGGTGAAGTGACCTGCCCAAAGTCAGCCAGCTGACTGATGTCAAAATGTCAGAACCCAGGGGGGTGGCTCCATAATGTAGTGGTTAGCACATCTGCTTTACATGCAGAAGGTCCTGGGTTCGCACCCCAGGTGGAACCACAGAACATATCCCAGGGCGCCAGGCCCCAGGCCCCAGGTGCATGCTGCGACCGTGTGGGAGGAGCCACCCCGCCTTCAGAGATCCAGTTCTTAAGGGGAAACAGCAACATCTGTAGGTCAGGGGTGGAAGTGGGGGTGTAGGGGGAATTAAAGAGGGGAAAAAAAATGTCAGTACCAGGACCACAAACCAAAACTCGACTCTCTTCCACCATCTCCCCTTGCTCCAAGGCTCCTTTTAGCACCCTATAATTTCATTCAATTCAATAAACATCCCAGAAGACAGTATCCCTGAATGCCGGGTGCTACAGAATGCAGTCACTGCCCTCAGGCTAGATGAAGAGGTTTGTGCCTACAGACATCAGAGCCGTGGACCCAGCTACCCTAAAAAAAGTCTGGCACGATGCCACTGTCACCAAGCAAAGCAGGCAATCCTGGGGTGGGAAGGCATCCCAAATGGGACCTGCGACATGGGGCCAAAGGGAGAGTATGGGTGAGGAAAGGTGGCTGAAAGTAGAGCTGGAGGGCTGGGCAGAACCTGGTGACAGGGTCTTATGAATCCATCTAAAGAACCTGTGTGTGGACCCGCAATGGCATCCAGAGAGAAGCCCCTTTCACAGACAGCCTTCCAGGAAAAGAGGAGAGTGATGCAGAGAACACACTGGAATGGAAGTGTAAATTCCTCTGGGCTTTGGTGTGACTCGTCCAGGGCAACTCACCTGCCCCTCACAGAGGATGTTCCTGAGCAGTGGCAGGTGCTCTGCAGTAAGGTCCCGGAGAGACCTGATGCCCCGGCGATGGCAGATGGCGATCAGGTACAGGTCATCGAGCTGCGCAGAGACCAAAAGTAAACCAGGCTCGGCAGGAGACAGAGTTAGGGGACGCTGCCAATCCTGGAACTCCCCATGGAGGCCAGGAAGCACCCAGACCCCAGGCCTACAGTGTCGGCCACAGCCAACCCAGCAACCCTAAGACAGGACCAATCTCCAGACAATGAGCGCATCCACATGCCCAGAGTGAATGGGACAGTCTAAGGAACTGAACTTCTGTTTATTCCCCCTGCTAAAGAATATCATAAAGGAGTATTTACATACTCAGGGTTGGTGGGGGGACAGGAAGGAGGTTCAAGAAAGTGTCAAGGACAACTTTCCCTCCAAGAGTTTATGCTCTAACGGCATGTACACAAGTAACTACTATAAGACACGAAGTGATAAAAGTACAAGAGAAAGAAGGAAAGACTGGCTAGGATCTTCCAGAGACATTTCCTAGAAGAAAAGTAAGGGGATCTGGGTCTTGAAGAAGTAGATTTTAAAAAAGGGCATTCAGATAGAGGGAACGGTGAAAGCTAAGTCTCAGAGGCAGGAAGGTATAGGGCATGTAAGGGAAAGGCAAGTAACCTGATTTATCTGGAGTCAAAGGCGTGTGAAGGAGTGTTGAGGGATGTGAAAGGTGGAAAAGGAGCCTGGGGCCAGCCCAGTAATAAGCACCACCAGAGCCTTAAACTTTTTCTCTCTTCCCCTATCTCCTAGGGCTCACAGGTGGCCATTCCCGTTGTCCTTACTGAAAATAATGCCTGGCTGAAAACTTGGAGATCACAACAGTGCAAAGAACCAAAATCAACAAGATCACATGCCAGGCAGCAAATGAACTCTTAATCTGACCCAGATATCCGTGACC